TAAGCTGTTCCAAGTAAAGCTGCCTTTTGCAATTGACTGATGGTGATTTTGTCAATGCTGATGGTGTTCAAATGGTGCTCCAGGTGTGTTAGGATTGTACCAAAGGCACCTATTACTGTTGGTGCTATCTTTGCTTTCTTTTGCCACAGTTGTTCTATTTGTGGGTCTTTGTATTTTGTGATTTTCTCCAGTATTTCCTCTTCTATTCTGCTGTCTCCAGGCATTGCAATGTCCGCTATCCAGACTTTTTTGTCTTTCTTATCAAGAATGGTTAAGTCTGGGGTGTTGTGTGTCTGGTGCTTGTTTGTTTGAATTATAAAATCCCAGAGCATGTTACCTTCTTCAGTTTCTTTTATTTTGCCTGGTTTGTGGTCCCACCAGTTCTTGTTTGCAGGCAAATGGTATTTCTTGCAGATATTCCAATGCACCATTGTTGCTACTTGGTTATGCCATTGCTTGTAGTCAGTCTGTGCAATCTTCTTGCAGCAGCTAACTAGGCTTTAGCTTCTTTGCAGAAGCAGCATTTGCTGTCTATTGCTGTCTTCTCAATTCTTGCTTTATTATTATTACTATTATTATACAAAAATGTACTGTCTGTCTGTCTGTCTGTCTCTCTATAAATAATAACTAATGACAAAATCTAAAGCAAAATTTGATTATGTTGATGGAGAGAAGTACAATCAAAATCAGAAGTAGTGTCTTTGTATACACAAATGTTTATAGGTGAGAACTGATATTACCCCTTTACTAGTCTTAAACTGTATTGATTTATAGACAAACACAAGTTTTACACATGAAAAATCTTTCATATATTGCCTTTTCTAGAGTTATTAATTAGTTAATGCTATTCAGACATTTCAGTGGAAGCCTTTGAACTTTAATTATAGTCCCTTAAACAGTCATTGTATTGGTGTCATGAAAATAAAATTACTGGGACAAAACCATATTTCTTTCATTAGTCAAAGGCAGTTGAATATTCACTAGTCATTTATTCAGATTTGACATTGTCCCTTTACTATCTGAGATAAGTGCTATTTCCTAAACAAGAGTTAGCTGTTTAGCAAAAAATGTCATTTGTTAATGCCGTTCTTGTAATTGTCTTACTGGATGATTGTTTTCTTCTGTGCTTGGCACCAGCATCTAGGAATCTCATATAAGTATGTTATGCAGGACATAATATCCTCTGTTGTTTTATCTCTGGCATCTGATATTCAGAAGGGAAACTAGTCAAGCATTTATCAGTTTTATTACATGAAGATCATAGTTTGGCACATTATGAGGTCAAGCCATAGCAACCTTGGGTCTCCATTCTCTGCTCCAAAATTCAGCCATGAGGAAAATGTTGAAACCAATAAAAGAACATTTAATAATCTTTTAATATTAAAAATATTAAAATTATTTTCACAACACTGTCCCTTTCCAAATCAGGTTACTGTAAGGAGGGGGGTGATTTAGCTTCATAGCTGAGGATATGTATCAAACCTAAATTGTCTTTACAGGGATTGTTCCATCTTCTGTTGTCCTGACTGCTTTCCAAATCATGTCAAGAGTTTTTCTGACATGGGCTATAACCCACAGTGTAAAAGAGGTGAGTTGAAATTGAACTGTTTTATGAGTTTTCTATTCCTTTACCTTGAGCCTGCTATTTGTGTTCTCTGTGGACATCACTATATAAACTATTTTGCCGGTATCAGATATGTATGTAGAATATGATGTGCAGTAAAGAAATCAACTCTTCAGTCCTGTTGCTATTTAACATTTTTTTCAACACCTTGGACATACAACTTGGAATAAATTCCTTGTTTCCATTACTTTTTGGTAGCCATTTTCCAGTTGCTATTTAGTATATCTCAAGTGAGATTCAATAGGCTTGCAGAGAACTGGGGGTCTTATTATCCAACTCATTGTTTGGAAAGGACAAAACAATCAACATTCCCATGAACAGTTAAATTTTACACTTAGGTTTCACTGGGCTGTTACTGTGTCCCCATAATAATAATAATAATAATAATAATAATAATAATAATTATTATTATTATTATTATTATTA